ACACACACACACACACACACACACACACATACTACTTCCCTCTCCATCAGCCAAAACTTAGAAAACAGGGAAGCTGGCAGAAGCGGAAAGCTGTCGTCCCCGGCCACAGGCATCTGAGCCACAACACCAGCCTGGCTTCACTGTGTGCACGGTGAGGGGCTCCTCCCTGGGGGAGGGCAGAGTTAGCAGGCTGTGCGTGTGGGAGCGCCCTCTTGTCTCCCCACGTCTGCAGAGAACACGGACGGGCTAGCTTGGAGCCTCGGCCTCCCTCCTCCAGTCAGGCCGCATCCGCCCTGGGACCCCACTCACCCTGACTGCTCCCCACGCACCTTCCACACACAGTCCCCCTTCTCCGGCCCGCTCACCCAGCTCTTCCTGCCTTCTCGGTGCAGCTGGTAAAGGCTTGGAAATTCTCCTTTCTGAGTGTCTTTCTTAGCGGTGATCAAAGCTACAGTGAATGCTGCTGCCAACGCCATCAACAGAAAGGCAGGCTCATAGCAACATCACTCTCTGCATCTACCTCATGCACCAGGTCTGGCATTGTGTGACTTCCGGCTCTTCCCCAGCGTCAAAATGACCATGAGAGGGACACGTTTTGAATCAATTCAGGACATTAAGGCAGCTACAGCAGCACAACTAAAGACAATCAGGAAAGAGGACTCCAGAGCTGCTCCAGGAAGTGGCAAGAACCTTGGGCTAAGTGTTTGAAGCAAGGGGGAGAATTGTGAAGGGGATTCATAGTAATGAATCTTTTCATCACTATGAAAAGATGTGTCTTTTACTGTGATACATTTTGTAAAACTTTTAACATTCACCGTATTTTTAGAGCACACCACATAGTCTTCAGGCGCGAATGAAAGTCACCATTTGGTGCCATTTAATGGACCTCACCCACCTCACTACTTACCCAGACTAGGACCTGTCCACCCCACACCTGGCTCCGTGTCTCTCAAAGAATGGTTTTCTGGGCTACCTTCCCCAACAGACCTTCAGAGGGCTCAAACTCTGAGCTTCAATGAAAGTTACCCAAATACAGGTGCTAAGATTTGTACAGTGCTTTCAACAGTATCACTGATTCCACACCATAAGGCCGAAAGGAGAGCCAGTTTTAGAAAGGTTACCTAATCCCAAGTCAACTACGACCTCGTCCAGGTGGAACTCAGTCCATACTGCAGAGAAAAGATGCGACGCAACAGAAGGAAGAGCAGCCATGCCGGTGCCAAATGGGTTCCCAACAGGAGAGGGTTCCCAACCCAACAGGGTGCCCTCGGTCTCCCCGAAGCCGCTGCTCACCCCACTTTAGCACTGCCCACACCATCGAAAGCCACCGGAAATAGTATTGGCACGTTCCTTTCACTCGATGGATGAAGCTCTGCACAGGGACAGCTCAGCCCTGGTCCGTTTTGTTCACTGCCACATAAGCCACTCACAACCCACACCACGTAGGGAGAGGAAGAGTTCCCAGAGGTGGACAAGGAGACGGGGTATGGGGCCGACTTGTGCGTGCAAAATCTGCCCGCCAGCCATTAAGATGACTGCCCTCCCGTCTCGGATCTGTGTCTGGCATCACGGAGCAAGCACTGATTAAATCTCCCTGTGTGCTTCCTCCCACAGATGGGCAGACGCGGGTCACACCACAGTGCAGTTGGTGCCGTATTTCTTCCTCGTCAATTAAGAGGTTTGCATTTGGTTTCTTAAAAATTGGTTCCTAGCTGAAAAGATCGGTGAGGGACAGAGTGTGGGCCAGGACAGGAGCCAAGACGAGGGGCACTAGGGGCAACGGGAGCCCGAGCCCCAGGCCTGGCCCTGCGCTCCCTCACACGTGCGAGCCCACAGAATGACTTCTCTGGGGATCGGTTTCCCCACACGACACTGCACCGGACACCTTGACAGCTGTAATCCCTTGCCACCTGTCAAAGCTAGGAGTCCACAACAATTGAGGAAGTAGCCTCCTCCGAGAATGTGGACTTGTAAGAGACGTGTTTCAGCCGCCGTCCCCAGCTGCTGGCAGTGTTGTGTTCATTCAGGTCACCGGGTCAGTCACCTTCGGTCACGAAAGGGCAGCCAGGTCCTCATGGAAAGCCCACAATGCCAGCGAGGACACTTGGGGGGGCGGGCAGCGTCACACAGGGACTGCTCCCAGGCTGGGCGATGTACAGGTGCGCAGGTGTGGGGAGGCGGGGGAGGTGCAGATGTGGAGGTGTGGGTGACGGAAGTCGCGCATTTCCCGTGCGGGCCTGGCCCCTGCAGCTTCACGGTGAGCAGAGCCCCGGGTCCACGCCAGCGGCCCTCCACCGGGAACCTGTGCCTGCCGTGGCCGCTGCCTGGGCCTGCTCCCTTCGCAGCCCTCCCAGGCTGGCCACGGGCCCTCCCGAGAGATCCGGTTCTGCATCCAGATGCACTTCCTGCTCCCGCTTTGCGCTCTGGGCTGCAGCTGACCCTGCCCACCTGAGCAGGCCTCCTCCTCCGCCTGCCGCCCCCTACCACCTTCCCACACATGCGCACATTAAACAGCACAGCTTTGTCATCAAACACAACTTCGCGCCAGCCCCTTCCTCTTCACTGGTGTCACTCCCACCCTCCCAAGGCTGAAATCTAGAAGTTACGCTTCACCCTTCACAGCCTTTCATCCGTCTTCACCCACAACCTCCAACAGTAACAGCAGCAGCTTTCTCTCTGGCTTCCCCATCTCATTCTTCCCTGCCGGGTCAAAGCAGCCAACAGACTGAGCTTTTCTGAATTACTTTCTCCCACTGTGGTTGGCCGCAGGCCTGGGCGGGTTCTTGCGCCCCGGGCAGAGGTCTCAGCCTGTGCACTGGGCCCCGAAGAGCTCGGTCCTCCCTCCCTCTCTGTCCGCCTCCCCCACTGGGCACCGGTCCGCTTCTGTCTTCCTCCCCACGTCCCCTTCAGCTCCCTTCAGGAAGCCCCTGCCGCCCGAAGTGACTTGGGCCCCAGTCCTGCCCCGCCGGGATCCCCTCCTTTCTGCCGCCCAGACCCCATGCTCCTTCTCAGATGCGCCTTCCCCTCCCGAAGGGTCCCGCGGGAGAGGGTCCCAGACCACAGCCGCCCTCCCGCTTGCTGAACCTCAACTGCCAAGCATTGTTCTCCTACCGCGCACTTGGCCTCCCTGGCTGAGATCCGGGCTCTAAAAGGGCAGGGGCCAGGCCGTCATCGTCCCCGACCCCGAGCGGGCTGGGCCGGGCTCGCCAGGCCCCTGAGGACCTTCATGCTGCTCGGAGCCCTGGACAAGGCCTGCTTGCTGCAGTGCAGAAAATAAATGAGTAAATGCGCACGGAAGAGCTGAGCCTGCTCCCAGCCTGAGAAGTGTTAAACGCTCAATTCAAAATTTTAGAACCAAACGAAGTCTCTTTCCCACACCGTGTTCTTCTGAGACAAGACACAATAGCCAGCGCTACCGCCCGGGTCTCGGTCACAAGCAGCCTGGAGATCACCACTGTTCCCCACCAGTGCCAGGCCCCGTGGGGACGGGAGTCCGACTCTGCCGCCCCGTCCAGAAGTCACCCCCACATCAGCAGGCGTCGGGCCCCGGGCCAAGATGCCCTTGAGCCCTTTAGTGTCCCGAGGATCGCGCGCTGCAGAAAGGGAGAGCGCCCGGCAGGCGAGCGCGCCGCTGGCCGGGTCCGGCTGCACGCCCCCCCTCCCCGTCCGGTCCGGTCCGGCCCGGCTGCACGGTCCCCTGGCCCCAACTCCCGCACGCGGACGCGCAGCCCCGCGACTCACCCGTACGCGGTAGCTCAGGCCGGCTCCCAGCAGGTGCTGCTTCGGGCCCGGCTGGTCCCGCCTGCCCCGGACGCTCGGCTCTGCGGGCCCGGGCAGGCAGGGCTCGGGGGGCGGCGGGGCTGGCGCGGGGTCCCGGCTCTCCCGCACCCTCGGCCCGGGAGCCTCCTTGGTGCCCAGGCAAAAGTTCTTCAGGCTCAGCAGAGCGGCCGGGTTGGCCAGCTTCACGCTGGCCACGCGGGGTACCAGGGTGCACAGCGGGGTAGGGCCGTCCCGGGTGGGCGAGGCGGAGTCCTCGGGGGGCTCCCGGGCGAGGCGGGCCGGCTGCGGGGCGCCCTTGCTCCCGCCCTCCTCGGCCAGCTGGACCGGCTCGTTGCGGAAGCGGCTGTACTTGGCCCGCTGCAGCATCCCCGGGGGTCCCGAGAGCCCGGCGCACAGCGCGAGCCCCGTCAGACTGTCCTGGCCGCTGCCTCGCATCGCCTCTCCAGGGCGAGACGGGGCCTTCGCCCGCGGGGAAGCCGCACGACCCACCGCCCACGCGCTCCTGCGCCCTCCCGCCTCGGCCTCCCCAGCCGGGCTCCCCCGCCCCGCCCCGCCCCGCCACGAGCGTCCCTCGCTGGCTACGCCCGCCCAGGCTCACCGATTCGAGCCTGCGGGGGCCGGGCAGGGACCCAGGAACTTTCAGACCCGCTCCCCGGTAACCCTTCCTGCGCCCCAGAACTCGCTCGCTGCCGGGGGAAACGCTGTGCGTGCGGGTGCAGGGCCTGCTGCCCGGGCCCCCTCGCGGGCCGCCAGCCTGGAGCGCCGGTGACGGCGGGCGGCCACCCGGACCTGGCCGCCCGCCCCGGGCTTCCGCCTTCCTTCCCTCCCGACTCCTCCGGCGGCTCCTCGCAGGGGCTCCGGGCCGGGCCGCGGGAGGCTGAGGAGAGCAGAGCGCCGCGCCGAGTGTTGAAATTTTTATGAATGAACTTAGCCGAACGGCTTCCTCCCCTCGCGTGCGAGCTGATAAATCCGTGAATGGAGCCGAGAATAGCTGTCATTGACTCGGCTCGGAGGTCCTCAGCTGTCGTCCAATCGGGGGGCGGCTCGGTGACTCATGCACTATAAATATGCTCAACTAGTAGCGAGATGAAGGCCGGAGGGAGAGAGTGCTCCTTCTGGAGGAGCAGGGTAAGGGAAGGCAGCCCTTGCTACATCCTCGGCGGTTTCTGAGCTGTTTCCTCTCCTTAGGGAGACCGAGGAGAGCTAGGAGTTCCCTACATTGTTCCCGGGTGTCAGGACACAGGGTGCACAACTCCCCGGCGGGGCGGGCTGCATTTTTCTTAGAAACAGCGCGCGCGCTCTATCTCTCTCTCTCTCCCTCTCTCCCTCTCTGCGGTACCGTTTCCGGACCCCATCGATGTGTTCTGCTGGATGCACAGGATGCTCCAGCCAGGCTGGGCCCAAAGGACACTCGGGTTCCTTCAAGAAGGTGCTGAGCCAAGGAAGGGGAGAGGAAGCGACAGGACAGCATCTGAAGGCCACTGGGGCTTCCCCTGGGCCCAAGGCGCCGGCTTCTGCGATTGTTCGTCCACTCAAACATCAAGGCCCAAGCCTCAAGCAAGGGAAAGGCGGGGCCTGGACCTTGGGCTGCATCCGGCTTGTGAGTATTCATGACTGCTAGCCTGAGCCCCTGGGGCTCTGACACAGGCTTGGGGCAGAATGGCGGCTGGTGGCCGGCCGGGAAGGCCCTGGCCCCCAGTTCTGTAGGGATGTGCTTCTCCAGGGGAGGCCTGTCTGGACCTTCCCACATCTTCCTTCCAGTCCCTGCTGACCTCCTCTTTCTGTCCCACCCCTCCTCCTGGAAAATCTGAGGTTCGAGTTCCATCCTTCGGAATCCACATCTCTGGGGCTGAGAAGACAAGAATGGGAAATCTGCAGTATGGTGCCTCCTTTCTTCCACTCTTCTGCCTTCCGGGGCCCTGGGCCCCTCGCATGCTTATGCTGTGCCATGATGACCTCCTGCTGTGTGGCCTGAGAAAGTCACTCCACCTCTCTGTGCCTGAACCTCCTCCTCTGCCAGGAGCAGCTGTCTAAGAGGTCAAGAAGGGTTCAGGAGATTGTCCTAATCCTTGAAGGCCTTGACATAATGCTCCAGAGCAGTCCAAGATACCGGGACAGTTTCTCCTACGGAAGTAGGGGGGCATGTTGGGGATGATTTAAGGGAAAGCAAAGCCTCCATCTCTTGAACCTAGCAGGGTTCAGGCTCCTGTGAGAAGCCAGTGTAGCTGCCGATGTGACAGCAGGCAGAGCTCAGGCGGTGGTGCTGGCAGTGAGAAGCAGCTGGAAACAGATGAAGCTTTACCCACTGCTCACCTATTGTGTGGCCAGGTTGCTCCCAGAAGCTGTGGGGCAGAAGGGAGCCCTGGGGATTTATTTCCTGGAGGTTCTAGAATGGTTGGGAAGACAGATTGACCAGAGAGGGACCTAGCAGAACATTCTCCCGTCCACGGTTTCCCCTGTGTTCAACTCTCCATAGCTGCCAGGCTAGAGAAGTCCTAGAATGCTGTTAGCTAGGCTTCATGGGAGATTCTAGTCAGTATTCAGAAGACCAGAAATGCTGATAAAAAGGCAGATGGTAAAGACCAGGCTCAGGAGATTTCCGTTGGGAACAAACATTCCATTGGCAGCTGGACTTGAAACCATGTGTGTTACGCTCTGGCAGAAAATTGTCTACATTTTGCTCATGTCCTGAGTCTGCAGTAGACTGAGATTAAAGATGCCACACTAATTAACAGGACAGATGAAATTTCAAGGCAGGCCAGTGTTCAGGCTGTGGCATGAATACTGTTGGGAGACTTTACCCAGCTCTACATTGAAAAACAAGAGCAAATGGCACAGCCGAGTGACTTTTAAAGTCTCCAGTTTTCCCAGAAAGGAAGATCCTATAAAGTTGTGGTGGAGGAGAGCTTGGTGGCTAAATGATTAGCATTAAAAAAAAAAAAAAAAAAAGTACTTTGCATCAGAACAATAGGCAGAGTGCCTTGAGGGCATCCCAGGAATCAGCAAGACCTCAAGTGTCCAGACATGAAAGATTTGCTTTGAGAGGAGCTCTAAAGAACCCAGCTCATCAGGGCCAGCTAGGAAAGACTTTCCCTGGAGCTTAGCTATCCAAGAACTCAGAGGCTGCAGCCACGATCCAAGGAGACCCAGCTACTGCTCAAGCTGGCAACAGACCTTGGCATGGTGCTGGTTTTATAAGCATGCAGAATGCAAGAGTTGTAAGGTCGTGGGAGGCTTCCACCCAGATTTCAGAAGGCCTGGGAGGCCAGGAAGTGAGCCCCTGAGAGGCCAGTGTGGGAAGCTGTGAGAGTGAAGCAAGAAAAAAATGTGGTAGAGACCCACCACCAAGAAACTGGAGAGGCCAGGAACATAGAACATCTGAGGAAAGCCACAAGCAATGAGAAAAGCCACCCCAAGAGAGAGGCCACGATAGATGAACACAGACTAAAACTCCTAAAATGGGCAATGCCGTGGTGGGGGACCTCCTGCGCCCTTTGGGGCTCACGTATTGTCATGACATCTGGCCCCAGCTGCTGGACATGGAATTACAGGATTAAATATTTGTCCTGCTGGGTTTCAAACTTGCTTTCCTGTGATTTCTTTCCATCTGCCTATTACTCCTTTTTCTGCCATGGGAATGTTTACCCTGTGCCACTGAATGTCAGCAGTGTTTAACTTCTTCTTTGATTTTTGTAGGGACTCACAGCTAAGAGTCTGCCTGGAGCCTCAGAGGAGACTTTGGACTTAGACTTTTCAGCACCGACCGGTGAGACTGTTAAAACTCTGGCGACTCATAAATGCATTAGAGAGATGCATAGGAGTCTTTGGGGGGGCCAGGGGCAGGATGTTATGGTTTATACTGAAAATCCCCCCAGTGGCCCCATGGAATCATTGGCAGGACTTAGGAAGAGGACATGGCAGAGGTGCTGCTTGCTGACTTGCTGTTAGTAAGTGGGACCAGTGGGAAGAGGCAGGTCACTGAGGGTGTGGGCTGGAAGAGCGTCTCCCTCCCTGGCTCCTTCCTTCCCTCCACTTCCTGGCTGCCATGAGGTGAGCAGCTGCTCTCCACCAGGCCCTTCCGCCAAGCCGCCTTTATGTTTAAGCCTGCTCAACATGGACTACAACTTCTGAAACTGTGAGCCAAAATAAACCTTTCTTCTCTTAAGTTCTGGGTGTCAATTCCTGTGTCCCAGGGACAAGAAGGTGACTAAACAGAACCACAGTATAGGAGGAAGAGCATTGGCTTGAGTTACCAAATCAGCTGTAGGGTCTTCACTAGGTCATCTCACCTCTCTGAGACTCAGTGTTCTTGTCTGTAAACTGGGCATGATACTAATACACCTGCTGGGCATCTACTCAAGACAAAAGCCTTGAACTAACTGCTTCACACTGAAGCCTTCCAGCAACTCCATGCTGCGGGTGCTGAGCACTCACTGCTGAGGTCCCAGGGTCCATGAGGGGCAGGTCTGGGGTAGATTTGAGCGCTGACTCTCACCAGCTCATCCTTGGCCCCTGGGATGGAATCCCACAAAATCCAATCCCAACTCCATGCCGGCTAAATGGGAATTCTCGCTGTCCTCGGAGATCAGACCTAGAAAATTCTCCCAAAATACCTCACAAGTGAAAATATGAATAATAGATAAGAAAAACCACTATTGTCCTGAAACCATCAAAGAACCATTAACCCCTCTCATGGCAGCCACCGTGGGGCCTCATTTGCTCAGAGACATCCTGTCCCTTGCCAGGCATCTTCTTCAGAGTGGCTGCCCGTGGGTGGGAGGCAGGTGGGTCTGCCTGGGCCCTACTGGGGTGAGCAGGCCCTGCCAGAAGCCAGAGGCTCAGGGGGGCCAGGGGACTGGCGAGGGAGCTGCCCGGCTCTTGAGGAGAACCTAGTGTGGGAGGCAGGTGCACAGGAAATGAAGACAGAATGAGCCACGAGTAACTCTGGGGCCGATGCTGCTTTGAGACTGTTATGGTTTATGCCTAGATGTCCCCAAAGCCTCACACGATCATAGGTGGGATGTCTGAAAGGTGATCTGATTATGGGGGCTTACAGCTGGCTTGGTGTTTGGAGGTGGGGTCTGGTGGGAAGAGGTGGTCACTAGGGCATGGCCTAGAGGAGAGGGTTCCCCTCCCTTCCTGTCTCCTCCCTGTGCTCCCTGCTTCCCGGCCACCATGAGGTGAGCACCTTCCTTCCGCCAGCCCCTTCCACTATGCCATTCTGCCTTGGAGCCAGCCAACCATGGACTGAACCCTCTGCAAACTGTGAGCCAAAATGAACCTCTCCATTCATTTGTGAGTGTCAGGTATTGGGTCCCAGTGGCAAGACAGTGACTGGAAGGAACCAAGGAGAGCAGAGGCCTTTTCGTCTGGCCAATCACCATCATTTCTGTCACAAGCAGACCTCACTCAGAAAATGTCCCTGAGTGACACCAGACCCCATCTACAGCCTGAGCATGAGGGAGGGGAACAGCAGAAGGCCCAGGAAGGGGAGGAATTCTGCAAACAATATTTATATCAAGTTCTT